GTAATATTGGTGCAATGCTGCTTTCTGGACACTGTGGGACTTTCTTGCTTTCAATGTGATTGTGCTATCTGGATTCCGTCATCTCACTATCTCTCATTTTCCTTGCACATTATTGCTGATCGGATTTCCTCCTTGGTCAGGGGCCGGTCCAAATCTATACTTTGCTGGGCCGTTAGGGATTTCGTCATAGGTCTTAAAGATTCTGCAATTTCCTTCTTCCTGCGTCTTTGTCTTTCTGGCCACACCTTGTAGTAAAAAGGTCCTTATAAAAGGATCTTGCTATTTGTGTACAGTGAGGGGTAGAAGTGGTCACGTCTCTGTGTCCTGATTGCGGGTCGTATAATGCTTCTGTCCTTGTTCTCCGCATTCGGGCACGGGCCATACCGAATTTTTTTTTATCCATTGTGCCTTCCTTTGCGCGCTGTGTCATTCGCCCTCTGATACGTATACCTTCCCAGCGTTGTGAGGCGAAGGTTTGGAGACGTTCTTTCATGATTTTCATCTCTGAGGGTTCATCAAGCAGTGCGTATTGGTTGTTTTCTGTGTTGTTAGCTGTATCATTTTGTTGTTAAAGTTGCTGCAGTTGTTGGTGAGTCTCCATTTCCTGCTAATAACTTCTGGCTGTGAGTTGTTTTGAGTATTCTTTGCACTTCTTTCCCAAGTAAAAAAGGTCGTTATTAAACCAGTCAATCTGTTGTGGAAAATTTTGCTTCTGTGTGTGCCAAAATGCCCACCAGTTAGTGATGTATTGTCGAAAGGTTTGCTGACTCAAGATAGATACGTTGAGTTTGTAGAAATCGGGGTCGTGGTCCAGTTTCCTTCGAAATGACAGGACCACCGTGCACATCTTGTGGTCAAGGCCCGGGTAAGGGCTGGCCAGGAGTATTGCTGCAAGTAGCAGCGCTCCGGCCAAGTCCTTCGAGAGGAGGATTAAATCAATCCTAGATCTCGATTGGCCATAGGTCCCGTTATTACGTAAACAAGAGTAGTATCTTGTGTCCAGGTTGAGTCTCCGGAAGGAATCGAAGATATTGAGCGAAAGACTTAATTCTCTGATCATCTGCTCATCCTCTTCTATATACGTCGGAGCGGGGGAAGGGATCTTCCATCTATCCATCCATCAGTCTGGGGCCGCATTATAGTCCCCCGCTATAATGATGGGAACGCCGTCCGGAATCTGCGTTCTTATTTGTGCAAAAAAGGTTCTCCTTTCACTTACCATGTTAGGAGCATACCACAAAAGATACATATGATCTCCAGCTCCAAGGTGACAAGGATTGACACCCATCTGCCTCCTTCCTGGTCCGCCACAGTGAACCGGGTCTGCCCGGGAGTCGGGGGGGATCCAAATGCCCACCCTGCACTCCCCGGTTTCGGGGCGTGGACCCTGAAGGCCTTGTATGGCCAGATCATTTTGTGTATGCGGTTGTGTTCCGGAGTATCCATCAGATGAGTTTCGTGAATGCACACGACATTCGGCCAGTCCCTGCCCCCCACACCTCTCATCAAATCCCATATTACATTTTTTTGTCTGTTTTGCAAGAGGCCAGTTCGTTCACATTCAGAGACCGCAGGTCCAGGTCCGCCGCTCGGCGGCATTGGTTCCAAATGCGGTCCTCCCCATAGACTGCTTTGACCGGGTTCATTTTAGTTCATAGTCTAGTCCACGATGCTTATTCCAAATCCCAGTCTGTGGTGCCCATCCGAAGGCCCAGTCTGAGAAGGGCACATAGGCATTTCTGGACATCCTCTTTGTCCAGAATGTACCGGGTCTAATTTTGGCTGTCTGCAGGTCCAGCAGTTGCGTAAGCGTATACCAATTGAGACCTGCCTCTTTGGTCGGGTCGTAGCGGATAAAAATGTCTCTTTGCGAGGTCCTGTCAGGGTCCTCTGTCCCCGCAGCTATAGCTTGTGCCCTGGTGGCATGGATTCGACAATGTGCGATTCAAGTTGTAATTGCAGGATCCCATTTGCCGCCTCCAACTGCGGCGACTGGCCCTGCCGTGTATTTGCCCAAAAAGAAGACCAGCCCTGTATCGTTACCCCCCCTTGCTTTGCCCTCCTCGACTGGTGTCAGACCAAACTCCCATTTCCCGTTTCTCTTTCGGACTGGTAGCAGCCACATTGCTGCTTGCGATAGGGGTTGTGTATCCTGGCCCATCTCAATCACATGTCTCAGTTTTTTCTTTCGCACCAAATCCAGTGGCATATTCTCATCGGGGTCCGGAGGGTCTGGCTCCGGCGGGGAATCCCGCGGCTGAAGGGCCGGAATTTGCGCAGTCTGTGCTGCATTTGCCTGGTCGGTCGTCACTGCAGTTTGCATTCCGCCTTGCCTCTCTTGGCCATTCGTCACTGCGGTCTGCTTTCTGCCTTGCCTCTCTTCCTCCACTGTGGTCGGATGTGGAGGGAGAAACCTTGCAGAAACTATCGTGTCTACTTTGTGCTATGCCTCTGACCAGCTAACCCCGGGTTGCAGTCCATTTTGCAGGACATTTAAGAGCGAGGCACTTTTGTCAAGCATGGGGAAGAGCTCCAGGTACGTTTGGTCCCAGAATTCGTCAGTGAGGGGGCCGTATTTTGCCTTCAGGTTGGCCATCAGCCAATCCGCAATCACAACCAACTTTTGTTCCGGGGGGAGCTGCGCCGGCGGGGCTCCTTCCTCGTCGGCCCCTTCACTGGGTAATCCCCCCGGCGCGGTGGCGAAGTTTTCCAGGAGGGGGTCCACCTCCATCGGCTCAAGGCCGAAGGCTGCTTGGAGGGGGTCGGCCTCCTGCACCTGATTCTGCCTCCCCTCATCCTCAGACCCGTCCTTTACTGTCTCTACCTCCATTTGCTCCCCTTTCTCCTACCCTGCCACCCACCCCCCTCCGCTCCCCTCCTTTTCCATCAACCCTCTTTCCGTCGCCATCTCTGTTCCCTCTCCTCTTGTCTGCCCTCCCATCAATCTCCCCTCACTTTCTGAGACCAGTTCCTCTAGGGAATCCACAATTACCCTGGTCTGCTTTCTCGTGTCCCCCCCCCCCTACCTCCAACCGCCTCCTTGTTATCCTCTCCTTCCTTTCCTCCCTTTTTTTCCTGTCGCGGGGACTCCTCCTGGAGGTAGTGTATTGCCAACGGGCCAAGGGTTGCTCCACAGGACATCCCACCTTTATCCTCTTCCGCCGACTCTAATCTGAGATCCGCTGGTCGTTTTTGGATCCAGGTCCCTTTCCCACCTTTCTTTCCCACACTCCTCCAGTCTGTTTCGTCAAGTGTTCGTTTTAGGGGGACTGTTTTGCTCCCTGCACCTTCCCGCACACCTTCTCCTCCATCGGAGTCAGGGGGACCCATGCGTCTGGGGGGCTTGTCCCCCATTCTGGTTCTCCCGTTCTCTCCCATGTCCATCCCACCGGGGAACCCTCTTTTGTCCGGTCCTCCACAAAGACCCATCCTTCGTGGCCTAGATCCACTGTACGCCAATGGGTTATTTTTATCGGGTCTCTTAACAACCTCCCTGTTGCTCGCTCCCTTTTCTGCGGGTGCAGTGGGCAGTCATATTTTGTACTTAGATGACCATAAGCTCTGCAATTTGTGGGCAGTATGGATCATGTACTCCTTTCCCCCCACCCGGTAGGGGATCACGTCATCAAGGGAGAAAGGTTGGCCTTGGGGGAAGTCCAAGGCGAGCATCAAGTAATCGTCCCACAAAGGAGGGAAGGGGGTCAATGAAGGCCACAATGTCATACTGCAGATCGAAATCGTACACAAAGGTCGCCTATATTTCCACTGGGATGTGACAGAATTCCACCCAGTGGAAGTCCTGCATTAGTTGTGCCCTCCTCTCCTTCGGTCCCAACGTGCGCTGTGGTGTCCATGGATAACTCGGACCTTCGACCGCTCGCATCGGAGGTGTTTCCAGCCATCAATCACCCGTTTATCAGTTTCATGCAAGGCCAGAACCGTAATTAAGGTGTTTGAAACGGGTTGAATCAGAAACTGATCCCGGGCCAGATCGGCGTTGTTTTTCAGGGCCTCAAGCCGGCGGCCAATCCATCTAACCTTATCATTGACTGATTTGAAGGCCGCGTCGTCATGAAATACCCAGTTGTTCGCGTGCTTTTTGTAGATCCCATCTCTGCTGGCTATCCCTTGGTGGGGGTAAGCCTTCACCATGGTCTATCTGCCCCCTTGGTTCACCACTCTCGTTTCCGACGGGAGTAGGAACTTTTTTAAGAAGAAAGCCCGGGCAGGGGGCAGCCCGTCCAGAGGAATCTCCAACTTCCCGGTGCGCGGGCTACCCTGCCCGCGTGGAATAGTAAGGGCCTGGCCCTGAAGTGGGTTCCTGAGGCGGTCCGCCCAAGTGGGCTGTGGTTGCTGGTTGCTCAACCCTTGGGCGGACAGGACTCCAGCCCCTTTCCTTGGGACAGTCGTCTTTTGCTCCCTCTCCATCTCCTCCTCCTTCAGGACTCCCATACCCTCTTTCTGTTGGAGATGTTGATCCGTCCATCATGTTTTCTGCCCGTGAGATGGGGGCGTGACTCTGTTGCGACCATTTCATGTGTCGGAGATGTTGATCCGTCAGTTGTCTCGTTGCCCTATTGTAAAACAACATCGAATCTAGTCTTTCATGTGCTCGTTGCATCCTGTTTGTTATTCTCATGGTGTTATGTTTGTTTCTTCTTTTGTTGTGCTTTTTTTCTTTTTCTTGTTTCCCCCTTTTTTGGTTCTTTTTTGGATTTTTTTTTTTTTTTCTTCTTCTTCCCTTGTTATCAAGTTTGTTTGGACTGATCAGGGCAGACAGGTTGCCTTAGCCCTCCCGTGGGCCGGTCCTTAACCGTCTCCCTTCCTTGGTTGGCCGACCAAATCTTAGTCTTCCTTCCCCATTCTTCCTTACCCCCTGGATCGAGAGTCTCCCTCCCCTTCTAATCCCCGTTTTCCTTCTTGCTCCGAGAACACCTCCCTTTCCTCCCTGTTTATACCAACCCCGTCCTCCTCATTCACTCCCGGCCACTTAGTTCCTCGCTTTGATCCTTGCTTTGTTCTCCCGCTGCGAGGAACTCTATCCTCCCCCCTTCCCTAACCTCCTTTCGCCCTTCTTTTAGTCATCCAACTTACTGTGATTGCTGTCCACTGAAGCCCCGTTGGTCGTCCCCTGTCCACCTAACCAAACCGTGATCCCTCGTTTCCCCCTTTCTCCCCCCGATAGATTCTCCACTCCCTCAGTGAGCCGATGATGCCCGTTTCTCCTTCGTATGTTCGCTGGCCCGTATTACCGAAGCTCTCCTCCGTTTGTGTGCCATCCCGTCGCAGCCTCCGTCGCGAAATCCGTCAGCACGCTTTTATCTCCGATCCTTTGTCTCTATCGACCTCGAAGTCTTGTTCACGCCCAAGTCCTTGCGCGAGTCTCCTATGCACGTGTATGGTCTTCGCTCCGCATCCGAGCTCCCCACATGCGACCCGCTCCCTACGGAACCCGTTGTTCCTCGCCGAGCGATGTGACGCGGTGTCGTGCTTACGCCCCGTTCCATGGCTATGGTGTATCGTCTGCACAATCCAACGACGACGCCACGTCCCCCTCCCTGCCACCACTCGAACCGGCGTGGTTCATCAAGCTACGCTAGTGCCCCGCGCCCCGCGGCAGACAGCGTTACCGGCGTGTAACATTCTGGGCTTAATATTGCGAGAGGTTACGTGTTATCGGATTGTAAATTTAATGAATAATTGTAAAGGAAGAGTCTCGATGGTCAATAAAAGAAAAAACAAGAACACATTTAGGTCGTCTCCGACTACATGTTATCGAAGGAAAGCAAAGCATGCTCAAGAATAAACAAGGTATATATGACTGTGCTGCATAAGGCGCTGAAAATATTAATGCGCTTATGTGAAGAAAAGTAAATGTTATTGGGAGGGTTGGGTCACACCATGTATTGTAATGAATATTTGAAAAGGAACCAATCCGATAAGAAGGAATAAAGCTGGCAATAAACGTAACCTTTCTCCTAAGGCACCCATGCTGGAATATGTAGCCATATCATTCTCACAATTCGCAGCGCGGGCGAGCGACGTAGCAAAGCTGGTCGCCTCATCTCGAAGGGCCTGGAAGGCCACCAAAACGTGGTCCTCAGGCGTGACTCCCTGTAAGTACAAATAGGAGTGCACGTTGGCCTCCCAATTATCAAAATCCTCCTCCTTCTTCCCACTGAAGGGTTCCGGGAAACGGACCTTGACTTTCTCACGGCGTGGTGGGGTCGGCTCCTCTTCCTTAGGAGTCGCTAACTTGGCGTCTTCAATGGTGCCAGTGTAGAATTCTTTCGTTTTACTAATTGCCGGGTGGACCTGGTCCACCAGGTACTTCATCATGTCACGCACAAAATCCTTAAGCCCAACACGTATTGCATCTATCTTTACTTCTAAGTTGCGGATGTACTGCGTCTGCTCACGATGTGCAATTAGTAGAGACTCCACACTTTGGGTCAGGGTATCAAGTTTAGTGGCTATCTCAGTCTCTTCCTTGATCTTCCCCATCCCGGTCTTCGCCGCTTTCAGGTCCCTTTCTGCTCGCTTTGCCGCCTCCAAACGCCTAACTTTTTCTTGGGACATACGCCACTTCCATGCCCTTTGTTGTTCCTCCTCTTTCGCCTTTCTCCTCACCGGGTCCCTTTCTGCTTCCAACTCCCTTCTCGCGGCCTCTCTCTCTGCTTGGGGTATGTCCAATTCTGCCTCCCTATCTTCCCCCAGCTCCAAGTGTGCGGTCCACTCTTGTGTCAACTTCTCAATCTGCTCCTCCTTACTCGTACTAGCTTCACCTCTTCTTCTTTCCAATGGCTCCACTTCTTCTACTTCTTCTTCTTCTTCTTCTTCTTCTTCTTCTTCTTCTTCTTCTTCTTCTTCTTCTTCTTCTTCTTCTTCTTCTTCTTTTTCCACCTCCGCTTGTATAGCCGCCATTTTCTCCTCCTGCTCATGCGTCCACTTCTTCATTTCCTCCTCCAGCTGCCTCTTCTTCGCCTCTTGCTCCTCCAGCAAGGCCAGCATCTTGGCCTGCTTGATTAACTCCCTCTTCGCCATCCTTTCCTTCTTCTCTCGCAGACTGGCGACAACTTTCTCCTCCTGCTCCTTGCTGTAGGGGGTGGTGCTAGTTCCTGACCTGAGGGTCACCGTGGTGATAGTGCACAATCAGCAACGGTTCCGTGCCTCAACACGTAGACCAAACAGGTTAACTTCGATCAAGGGGTCTTAACTCACTACTCGGGCTAGTCTCACGGTTCTGTGACCACAATCAAAGAGTCCTACCGACCTAGACAGGACTGACAGGGAGATATGACTGTCTGACCTTGACAGACTTAACGTCAGCAAGTACCAGGGTGAAGGTGCACATCCACGGGGTAAGGGATAGGCCAGGGCATGGAGAGATAGTACCGGTAATCTTCTCACTCCAGCTGGGTCGACGTTCCGGTCAAGTCTTGGTCAACTCACCGGTCAACACTCCTGGTCAACGTCGTGGTCAACTTTGGTCTACGCTCTTGCTCAACCCTTGGTCAACACCCGGTCAACTCTCAGTCAACGCTGGTCAACTCCCCTGGTCAACCTTCCAACCTTCCGGCTATGGTGGACCTTCTTCTTCTTCGTCAAAACCTTCGTCTTCTTCACCTTGGCTATGGCTGACTTCGTCTCCCTCTTCGTCACTTTCTTCTTCCTTCTCACTGCATCTCTCTCTTTCTTCTTACTGATTGTCTTCTTTCCCGAGCTTGGCAGCTATGGCTGCC